AAGGAGACAAATCGTGAAGCTGGTGATGCTTTTACTATGAGAAAGGAAAATGAAGATAAAGTGATGACCTTGAAGGTTTTGCTCCATCCATTTTGATTGTTTTGTTCTGATGTGGCTAACCCACCACCATGAATAAGCATTGCTTGCGGCTCTCTGCAACATATTGGTTGCTTCCTTTCTTCTTTTGTGCTCCTGATTGGTGTGTATTGAGATTTTAATAAGGTGAGAGTGAAAATCATGCAAACCGTGTTTCTCCTATTTCTCTATCCGTTTGAGATGGAGAAGAGAAGACATGGATTCCATGACAAGAAAGTGGAAAAAAAAAAATTAAGAGAAAAAGAAAGAGAGAAAGATAACGAAGAGAGAAAACGTGGGAACTAAGATGTTGTGCTAATTATGGGATGATGGAGGGGAGCAAAGTTCGCAAGAATTTATTGTGCAAACCTTACTTTTCAAAAAGCATTGCAATAAAATATGACATAATGCATGCATTCAAAGCCCCCACGTGCCTTTTCCATTCTCCACCTTTGCTTGCTTTTTACACCTTTCATCTCTTTCTCTTTTAAATTAGCTTCTGCGCTGTCAAACTCTTCAAACAACAATCCAACCTCAAATTTTCAACCAGATTATCGTTACCAATATTACTATTTTAATATTTACATGGATTTATAAAGCTATAAACTTCATTAGATTAGATTAACTAGTTAGTTATCTTTAAACCTGATATTTTCTTACTTCTCCCATCATACTGCTATGATGTTGACTTTCAGGCTAAAATTAACTCCTCATAATGAAAATCTCATTTTTATAATAAGTGAATATAAATCTAATTTTATATTTATATTATTTTTTAACACAGTATCGAATTTATGATTCAAAATCTATTTTAATTAAATTTATTATTTTATTGAATTATTGACTAATATTTTAGTTTTATATTTAAAATATATATGTCGCGACACTAAGAAATATATGAATTATTGTGAAAAACACAAATGTGTGTGACTGTTTTGTAAATATGATGCTAGGAAAAAGTTGCTTAGGAAATGTGTAATGAAGGTGGCGGTGGCCGACTTTTGTCGTAGAAGAATGACACCTTGTTGACAAAGTTTAACAAAGCTTCTGAGAGAGAAATTAAAATATAAAATTCCGTCTTTCTCTTATTTTTGGAGCCACGTTCTGTTAACTACTTTGGCCTGCAATGATGCTATAAATATCAAATGTTTAACAATTCTAAGAAATCAGAACTTGTGGGAGATCTTCAAAATTCTAAGAAATCCCGATATAAAGTTATATTTTGAAAGACAGAAAGTTTGAGGGGAAAAAAGATTGATTCGCTTCGTTATCATCAATAAAATGACATCTCAACAATCTTATAACAAAAGTAATCATGCACGGCAAATATTAATATTCATTTATTAAGAAGTTAACTAGCATATGATATTTTTATTTTATTTTTAAAATAGTTTTATGTTGAAAAAAAATTAAAATAACTCTGTCGACACTAGTAATATTTTTTTTTTAGATATTTTCTTTTAGTCTTTTTTTATAAATTTTTTAGTATCATACAAATAGTAGTGTAGTTGATACCATTGTTAATATTTGTTTTTAAAGGTTGAGAATTATAAAGTATAAACAATAACATAGAATTGGCAATGAACCCATGAAACTTTTGTCTCCAGGATCATAACTTTACTTTTTTAAGAGAGAAAACACTATTCTATAAGACTTTTATTTTTACATATCTTTGGTATAGTTTTCGAAAAATATAATTTTTTATTATCAACCAATAAAAAAATAGATGGAATTGTATTTTTGTTGGTTAAATTTTTATTTTTACATTTTAGTTTAATATTAGAATTTTGTAATTTTTTTTTCATTCTAAGTTCTGTGTAAAGCACAAAAGTATTAATCCAAAGTTGTTCTACATTCTCTTTTTGTTTTTTTTTTCTTTCTAAAAGCATGCAACTTCCTTTTATATAGTAATTTTCTTTTTCTCTTTTAAGTTCTTACTTCAATTTTCATATTATCTTCTTCTATCCTTTTTAGTTTCTCATTTCATTTTTTTATTTCAAAATATGGTACAACAGGTAACGAATTTAAAGTTATTTTCAGTTTTTTTTTGTTAAAGTAAGTACTTTTTATTTTAAAAAATTCTTATTTTTTTCTTTATGAGTTGTAAACGATGGTCGTCTCAACTAATTTTATTCTTTATTAAAAAAATATTTTGTTTAATTATGTTGTTATAGAATTTTATAGTTTTAGTACTTATTTTTATCTATGTAAGTATTACATAATAGATGATAAGCAATTCCAAATCAGAGAAATTATTAAAAGTTGAATGTGT